ATCGCCATACACTGCCGCTTCAAGTGTAGTTTAAATCTAGCTCCAAATCCTAACGATGGTTTTGGATTGATTGATTCACATGGTCTGTCACTCCTGAATAGCATCTTTGTCGATAGACAGCTCAATCCTTTAAAGCGCCCCGGTAATCTCATTGCACTAAAATACTTAAGGCCGGCCAGCAATTTCTTGGTAAGAGTAAGGCTGATGTTTTTGTAATCAATAACAAGTTGATAGCATCGAATATGCAAAAAGAAAAGACCTGCATACCGTCCTATGGAATACTATAATTTTCATATAGTTCCATGAATCAATCTGTGATCAGAATGACGAGGGTAATCCGCTGCAAAGATATCCTTTACTCATAACTTAGTAACTTACGATACCATGCCTGCGACTATAACACAGTATTTGGGGCAGCGCGAAGCACAGCGCTTGGATGAGAAGCTTATGAGCGCAATGCACGGATTTAGCATTGACCAGCTCATGGAACTCGCGGGACTTAGTGTGGCTGCAGCGATCGGAAAGCAGTATCCTCTAACTTCAATGTCGTCTACGCCAACTGAGAGTTTTAAACGCGTGCTCGTAGTTGCAGGTCCGGGTAACAATGGGTAAGGGCGCAATTTCCAAAAAAATATTAGACCAACGTATTGATCCTGGTAAATTTAAAAATGCTTTATGCTAAGGGGCGATGCGCTGGTAGCAGCACGCCATTTAGTGGTAGAGAATTTTGATTTACCAGAGCAATATTAGCTTGAGATTCAAATCCCGAATGGACGTTTGCTATAGCATTTCGGGTATCAGCCGACCATTTTGCACCCAAAGCGTAGTGCGAAGCCTCTTTTTCAGGTCTTGCGTTATAATCGTTTCTTACAATATGACAAAGATCTGATCAAGTTGGTGATACGGGGACTATTTAAACAGGGACTAGTGACGCAATGTGAACAATTGAAGATTCCATTTATTGAACAGATTCAGGATGCGTATGAAAGTGGTTGGAAAGGTTGCGTCTAGTGCTGATAATTTGTGGTGGGTACTCGTTTTGTAGCTCAAGCGTGGATTCTACTTACGATATCATTTTGGACGGCATATTCGGGTTCAGCTTCTCTGGAAGCATTCGTCCGCCGTTTGACCACATTGTCGATACAATTCGAAAGTGTCAAACCCCAATAGTCTCAATTGATATCCCATCAGGGTGGCATGTTGAAAAAGGTGCAATTATCATCATAGCAATTCCAATCCAGAAAAACTTGATGTTATAGTTTGCGTGATAGGAAATGAAGATGGTACTGGATTGGACCCACACATGCTGATATCGCTGACGGCTCCAAAGCTCTGTGCACAGTACTTTACAGGTTCTGATAAGGTCCACTATATTGGAGGACGCTTTTTACCGAGGTGAGGCTATTGTCGACAAGATATTGTGCAATACACTGAAGTGAAATCGTTTTTATGTAGATCGCTGGCGGACGAATTTCAACTGGAGTTGCCCAAATATCCTGGCGTAGAGCAGTGCGTAAAACTGCCGCTTCTATAATGGAAATTTTGCAGACGATGAATTGGATTAGCATTGCTACTTCATTTCGAAATGAATTCAGTGTATCCCAACGACTTAAAAGCCTCGCAAGCAGCAAACCAAAGCAAATAGGCTCTGTAATGTTGATTAGGATGGAACATGAAACACTGAACTTGATATAATGCCCTCGCGGCAAATAGGGCATGAGGGTCGTGGCAACTGTTGTATACATGATGTGCAGTAAATATGACCACACGGGATCAATACGCGGTCCACCTTGTTCTCTAGACACACAGCACATATAAGCGAGTCCTGCATCTCCTTCCTCTCGCGATTCGCCGAGTCAATTCGGCTCACGGCTGCACGGCGACCTGCTTCAGCTAACTCCAAACGGCGCTGCAGTCGAGCATTCTCAGCCACCAGATCCTCGACATTCGTGTCCAGTGTTACATTTAGACGGGACAATAATTCATTTACAGCGGACAGAATGTTCGACGAGGGAACCACCCCTTCAGATGCCGCAACAACCAATCTGCTGGATACTTTGTCAGTGCTTTGGGCTTCTGGTTTAATTGCTATGACTGACTGGGGCAATTCAACATATTCTTCCCTCTCGGTCCGTAGGCTAGCACTGCTGCCATTAGTTCCCACGCGAGCCGAGCGGAAGAAATACAATTGCGTGGCTAACATCCATCGAGTAGTCAAGCTGTCGACCCTCACTAAGTATCGACTAACACCTTCGACGTCGCTAGCCTCTCCTCGTAAAGTCTTACCGTAGCATAATCTTCCTCTTTCATCTTCTACGGCGACGAGCTCTCCAGATAGACAAGAGCGTAAAGGTGCCAGCTCCACGTTAGCATAGTCCGTCTCACACAGAGGCTGTCCTAATACTCCGCGAATTTTCTCCACGATAAGCATAGGATCTTCGTAAATGTCAAGCAGCTGCAACACGTCGGGAATTGCCAACTCATCGCAGGTCATGATAGACTCAAGCACAGAGCAATCCTGCAACACTCCTCCCAAGAGCTGATTAACACACCGAGCGACTAAATGGCTCGTTCGTATTTGCGTTTCAAAGTGCTCCTCCTGCGTCCGTTTTAAAATATATATTCGTTGTCGTTCCTGGTCCAAGAATGACAAACTTCCTCTGCGCGATGTCTTAGTCACATCAATTCTGCGGGTAGGAAACTCCAACTTTGCGACAAAGCGTGTGTGCAGCTCCGCTACACATTTGACTTCATACGCCGACAGATCCATGATCCTTTGGTTGAGATCTTCAAAGTCGGGAATAAATTCGAACGTATCATATGAAGAGGCTTTTTGCTGTTGAGCAGTAATAATCTTACGCAAACCGTGAGCAAAGTGCTGCGAGGCCAGCACGCTGCTGATATGTGCAATTTCATCACTAACAAATTCAGTTAGAAGATCGCTACCGTCTAATTCTTCTGTCACAATACTGGTAATTCCTGGTACGCCAAGCTTTTTGCAACACCTCATGCTAATACGAGGGTGGACGACATGCAGTTCCATGAGATCAACTTTTGAACAAAGCGATGCAGAGTCGTTAAATACCATCCCCAACATTGACTGCATGACCGCTGAGGTTGATGGAAGAAAAATGTTACACTTATCTTTTTGCATGAGTTGATAGTTAGACTCGTCCATCGCTGCGACAAGAAGATTGATCGCTCGAGCAGCTGCTACTAATTCATTCAGGTTAAGCGGACTACCACAACTTTCTTCCTTCAAGTCATGTAGTAACGAAATGTAATCACCCACTTGAGGGGCTTCTTTAGAACCCATATGTCTGAATAGAGAGTCATACGCCCCAAACACACGAGGAACTTCAAACATAAGTGGTGCCAAATTCTCGTCCAAATGAAAAAACAAGCGAGAGCCTTTCACTAGAGTAGAACCAACAGGAATCACAGCCGCATGTATTAAACGCTGTTGGGTTTCCGTTCCCAGTTCATCCCAATGTTCCTGTAGATAACTAAAAATTGCCTGAAACACAACATTCATGGGTAAAAAGAACTGCCACTCGAGTAATCGAGACGAAATTGATGTGATAGACAGCAGATGTTTAACAACTTGGTCTTGTGAAGGTGGCGATCTGATTCCTAAACGGCTATAAAGAACGCGCGGTGGCACTGCTGTATTTGCTAATATTGGTGTTGTAGAAAACACTAGCGCTTGATCATCTGGAACCGCACAATCTGAGTATCTGCGGACAACTAACCGCGACGTTAGCTGTCCTTCACTTTCCAACGTGACTATTCCATCTCCTTTCATGGACCTTGATACGTGTTCATACACAACTGCTGGGACGAACGACAACGTCGCTATTTGCTCAAAGAACGATCGTGACCGATCAAATTTTTCAAAATTCTGGACAAAATACTCGTGTAATGTTGTGGTAAATTGCTCGTCCTCAGGTGTCAGAGCCTGTTTACCTGAACACTGTCCATCGATGCGTTGCGCGCATTCGATAAAAATATCGACCGTAACTTCGGTTTGCAGACCTATTTCACCCATCAAATCTAGCCACTCAGGTGTTTGATAACGAAGTGCAGGAAAATGACCGCGAGACCCAGCATATATTGTAGCTAGAATCTTGTTTCGGGGATCGCAGTAAGCACTTGCTGGAAAATAGCATGTGCCCTCGCTTTCATCCTCCTTAAAAAGAGCCGATGCCTTGAGTATAGCTGTCAATTCGGCATTGCCACGTAGTGATTGCCATTTGTGCAGCAAGACATTCAGCACTTGCTCGCGTTGTGTTTCCACTAAGTCACTATACATTGGAAAAATGTAAATAAGTAGCTTGCTGTCGCTCATTTCATTCACTCCGAGCTCCTTATAAAAAGAAGTTAGGCTCGGATGACTCTTGAGAAAGCACTGCTGTGCATTTGAAGGTAGTGGAATGTCTGTTAAGTCGAGGTCTGGTGGAATCAAATAATATTCATTAGAGCCGTTCATTGCGCAAGGTACGCTGCGAATATTTACGTAAATTGGAAGTTGTTTAAGTTTTTCCAGTTGAACGCGATTAAAGCCCCCACAAGTCTCGCTATAATGAGCAAAAAGCCCGGCAATGAGTACAGCGTTTGTTTCCTTCAGTTTTTTCCAGCCGAGCTCTTTCCATAAAGATGCAAGAAATCCTTCAAGAACAACTATAGCGAGATCCGTACTACGTGGTACAACATCGTGCTCTTGACCCCCAAGATAAGCAAGCTCCAGCATTGGTACGTTCAAATCCATTAGAACGTTGTGAAGAGTCTCGCGACTACAGAACTCGAGTGCTCCATCTTCAATTGGATACATAGAAGTGGTGAAATCCTCGCCAAAAACAGTTTCAGACCTGTGAATGTTATTTTCACCAGAGTTGGTGTTTAAAAAGACAGGACCAGAAATTGTAAGACCACTTTCCTCAGTGTCTTCGCTTCCCGCATAACTACCGACACTTGAAATCTGTGCTCTTTCGGCTGATGGATCTTCAATCACATCGCTGATGTCGCCAATTGGAGATCGAATTTCAATGTCATGTGCAGAGTTTTTCCCACCATCCTCAGCATTCTGATCCTCATCATTCTCTTCCCTTTCTGCCTCGTCTTCGCCACTTTCTTCACCATCTGAGCTTCTGTCTTCAGCTATTTCATCGTCTTGTTTAAATTTAGCCAAGCTAAGGTCTATCAACCGCTTGCATTCAGCCTCAATATCTGCCATTTTGTTTTCATGCTCCGTAGTAGAAGTCTGAAAGGCTTTAGCAACCAGAGCTGATATTTCACTATCAGCCGAACCATCCCAGACACAAACTGCCATATCCCTCTTAGCACATGAGACGAGTCGTGAATCCTTTGTGGGTATTAATGGCCAGCTCGCAAAGTATTCCAAAGAACGGCGATCAAAATGTACGCACTGCCAAAAGCGGTAAAGCCACAGCTCGTCAATTTCAATCGGCGAGCTTCGATCCCAATTGACCACATCTTGGTTTTTCCACGACAGCGGAAGCACACGATCAATATTTTCCGACAAAATTTTAATGGAAAAAGAAACTATTCCAAAAACTGAGGTGAAGCGAGCATCTGAAAAGTACTTGGAAAGTCTTTGCCTTGTGGCTAATGAGATAAAAAGATTTCGTAGTGGTCGGAGCAGTTCAATTTGGTTGAATGAAGCGACAATATAGCTCGTGCGGCGTTGATTTACCCGAAGCACACCAATGCTCTCATCTTCCAGAGGCAGTAGTGAAAGTCCGTGAAACTCAGCCCAAATTGGATCCGTTTCGCTTGGTAACGGGAATGGCAAATCACTTAGACAATATTCGAGCAAGGATAAGCATACATCGGAATGAACCTCTGAGCTACTCACGCTCCTCAAGAAACGACGCATAACTCGCGGTGTTAAAGCATGAAGGCGCGACGGTAGAAGGCGAGAGCAATCTTGCAGAATTTGTGTCGGTATCTTTAGTGCTGGAAAGTGCATTTGAGCAAATGAAGACACCTGTTTAAGCATTATCATTGACGAATTAGTATGGCATGGAACGGGCAACTCTTTGTCTTGTAAATGAATGCTACCTGAAGATTCATGCCGCCCAAGTCGAGCTGGTAGACGTTATTCAAGGCACGAAAATTCCCGTCAGAGCATAGGAATAGCTCTCGTGTACTAACAGAATGGAAAACATGTGTCTGCACTATCATGCCAAAATCTGTGCCTCTTCCACGCTGCATTATCACTGGTTAACATGGTGGCTACGCCGATATGGTTTTCAAATGGCAACACTTACCTTGTGTATTGTAGGCCAAATATTGTAAAGAGCCTTCGGATAAGACCTTTCATAGCACCGCTTGGCAAGCACGAGAAGTTTTGCGTACGCATCCGAGACACCGTCTTCTAGTAGAATGCGATTCCATTCAGATGCGATCTGTAACTCGCTACCGCTTGCGCTGCCTGAGTTTTCTTTTTGACCGCTTGAATTCGCAATCGTGGTCAGTGCAAATTGCTTGTCCTTCAGTGTCTTTTTAAAACTACCATTCACGTGGACTGGTAGTCCCGTATGTTGATGCGAGCATACAATATCATAAACTCGACCGCGAAGTCGAGGAGGTGGGCTGTTGTCGCGAAAAATATGGCACGCAACGCTCACGTATGGCATCGAGTCGAGTATCTCGTGTACCGGGGTGCAGGCCAAATCACGGCTTCTCCCCATGCCGATATTATCAGCGAACAGCCAAGTGTCACGATACTGCTTGTTTTCCAGCTCAAGATTTACTACAAACTTCATTTGGTTTTCCGGTGTCATTGGGCTCTTAAAAAAACTTTGCAGAGAAAACCTTTTCTTCCAGTCTTGATTCTTTCGTGTCATGTTTCGTTTCTGAAGCGTACGCTCGATCGCATGAAGACTTACTTCACCATGGCAATGGGATGCAAATTCAGATTCTTTGCCCACACTCCAAAGTGAAATCCGGTGAATAGATTCTGTAAATATCAACGTCTGGTATAGCTGTGCCTTAATGAATGTAACCAACTTGTCCGCTTTATCCGCATCCAGCATATAAGATGGTCTAGCCGTCTCTGACTTTCTCCAGGGAAATCGGATTAATGTACTTCGCGTCTCATGAGATACCTTGCTTGAACAAGAAGGAAGGGTTGTAAATGGTAGTAGCTGGTCAGGATATCGAACAAAACCTTGGCTAAGCACTTCGTACTGTCGACCTATACTTGCCGGGACAGCTGTTGTTCCAGTCGATGATGACAGATAGCTACCAGTTGGATCCAGAATATAATAGCGCTCTCCGCTCAAAATCTGCATGCAGTCCGACACAAAAAAACCACAAAGAAGCCCTGCGCGCGGAGACTCTTTATCGTACAAGTTGTCAATATCGTGCTCACTCAGTACGAGATCGTGAATGTGGATGCACAACGCTTCATCTTGCAGCGCTTGTAACGATGGCTGGATCACACGCTGCGAAGGATGATGTCGGTAATCTAGAAAAAAGTCTACTTGTTTTCCTCCTAATCGCTCGGCTGCAAATATTGTTTCCCAAAGTAGCGCATGATGCCATTCAGATTTCGACGGTAAGACACTCTGCAAGATATCTGCAGATGGACACATTACACGCCGACTGGTTACAGACGTCTGAGCGAGTTTGGAATGTAATGACATTGCACCGAGCAATCCCGCTACAGATTTTGGAACTTTACTTGATACAAACGTCGTTCCACGCCGTACTTCTCGTGACTCGTCCCATTCCATGTCATCAAAAACCAACTGCATAGAAGGAACAAGGCAATTGGACTGATCCAGCAAAACCATGTCTTGTGACACAAACGAGCTCAAGGCTGCCTCTAATGATGCTGTGTCGTCTGCCAGGATTTGATAGATCTTATGGCATGCCGCCACTTGCTTTTCGGTCAAAGCTACGTTTCTTGGCAGTCGTATCAATGCCTCAAGGTAATCAGCCGTTGAAAAAGATGTTTTAATACCGATAGAAGTTAGTAGCGATCGTGGAATAATATGTTCACTCGGACAGCAATACAATAGAGGCTCTAAGGCGGCATCACTCTTAACAGCAATCTGACAAGGGTAAACAAATTCTTTGCCTGTCCAAATCCATAAAGCATTTGCAAGCTTGCGATATACTGGAGACGTTTGCCAACCTTCTCCGTCTGACAAGCGATGATATTCAAGAACATCATACATTGATTGAATTTCCGATAGCGGAAATCGCCAGCTAGGCAACTTGAAAGACGGCGGCGACGTATCGGCCTCAATTTTGCGGCTATATTCTTGCCATCGCAAGCCAATGGCTTCGAGCTGCTTTGCTATTACATAAGATTCAATTTGTTCGCTCCATCCAAACGCACGAATGAGCTCTTTGGATATGAGTTCGCCGTCCAGAATATCCATTGAAGAAGAGCAGTACCACTTAACCAAGATAAAACGACGAGTTAGACATATTATTCTCTTTAAGTCATCACACCAAGGCAAATTGACAGTGCTTACCGCATCTTTCATAGGGCGTGTTTGCGCTGCATTTGAAAGTATTGGTTGATTGTTGCCATTTTTAACTAGTCTTTTCCATGGCATTGCGGGATCAGGTGATTCCAGCTTGATAGGTAACCAACAAATTTCTTTCAGGCTTGCTGCAATATCTTGAGATCTATTCCCACTATTTTCTTGATTCTCGGTGACGGGATCACTTGCGTTCGATTCGAGCATCATCATATCAAAGTGTTTATTGACAATTGATAACAGGCTGTGGGCTTTTAAAGACGCCGATTCAGCAAGTTCACCACCGCATTCAGAATACATCGCTTCAATGGACCGCGCACTTTCCAGCACAGCTTGACAGGATAATCCAGTTTGAAGCCCCAGCGACCGCAAAATGTGAATCATTGATGGGGTCGAAAAAGCCTGAGCTGGAAGACTGTTATCTCCCACAAGTTCGCTCAATTCGCTCACACTAGGATCGTGTAGCTGATGAATTTCCCGAAATACTCGTTTCCTTGACGGTATGATGGCTTGGGATGTAACAAAGTCGCGAAATCGTGAATTATTTCGTTGATGGTGAGAGAGAGTCTCCAGGGCACTAACAATTACAGAATCGACCAGATCAGCATCCTGTCTTTCTAACACCTGCAACCGTGGGAAAACATGATCCAGCAAAATCTTTGTGGAGGTCCATTCATCTATACCGCAATCTCGCAAAAATCTTCGTAGCGTCTGCTTTTCAGCGCAAAAAAATGAGCTATCAAGAATTGCGCTATCTACATCCATGTCAGGTAAGTAGCCTCCTCGACTTAAACTGACATAACGCGCAGCACTGCTGATTTGGGTATCACCTGTTTGATTTGTATACACAGGGAATATAGGAATCTCAAAAAGAACTGACTGGAAATCCTTTGATATGGTGTCAAAGGTATTTCGAGCAAAAAAATCACATAGCACCTGCCGCTCGCCAGCCGTCGTTGCAGCAAAAATGTCATCAAAGCTATGACGGTCATGTTGAAATTGACTACGGCTCATGGCTGCCAGAACCCCATCCGAAGTGACCTTATAAGCATACTTCCGTGCTAACAGCCACCGCAAACACCTTTCACCGCTTACGTATGACGTATTCACTATGTAAACGTCGACCTTCGCCAGAACGTGCTGCAATTGATTGAGAACACTCGATGACACTTGCGCATCAGGCAAAACAAGGCTGACGTTAGACGAGAGACAAATCCACCGATTTTCTTCGTCGCACAATACGGGAACCAACGGCAATTTCACAAAACTTTGGGGCGGTTGCTCTATCGTCTGGAGCAGGGATTCTGCATACGTCCATAACAAGCGCAACCAGTCTTTTTTAGCTTGAGTTCCCTCAGGTTCTAAAGGCGACGCAAGGGCAAACACATTTTTCTCAACTTTGTGCCAGCTACGGCCCAACACTTGCGGCAAAAATTGTTCTAGTATGATATCAAGATTTAACACACCAAGATTCGAGGTTTCATACAGAGTGGGTAGCTGATCAAACAACTCCTTAAACTCTCTGCTTACAAGTCGATGATGAAAGCCAACTAAGAGTTGTTCCTCGATTACATTCCCAAAATATAATATCTGGCGCTGTTTTTTGTCCATGTCAGTGTCAGTGTCATCATTTTGCAAGTTTCCATCAATAAAGCACAGTCGTTCAAACTTTCCATTCATAAGCGGCAGTAGCGGTAAATGGTTGAGAGCTTGAGCCGCAGAAGAAAAAGGCGAATTCAATAAATCCGACAGACAGAATTGAACAACTCGCTTTAGCGAGTTTTGAGCCAAACCTGGAAGAAAATTTCCTTGTCGCGCAAGCCGTCGAAAATAGTCGGGTGTCATCGCTCCACAAACAGCATTGCTTTGAATTAAGAGATTGCGTATTCCTACCGGCAGTTGCACTGTCGTTAGTGATGCTGTGCCCAGTGCGTCTTCAAGAATTCTCCACTCACTAATGGTGTCGTCAACTAAAATGCAGGAGCCAGGAGCGACAAAGTTGCTTGGAGATCTCATTATTCTGTCATTCATATGCTGGCTTGTTGACGCAAGAAAAATTGGTTTGTTTTTCATGATGCGAAAAAGTTCAAGAGCAACGCCATTCCAAGGACTGGAAGGTAGACACGTTGGGAAAAACGACAAATACTGAGAGGGATCCTCCTGACATATAGCTTTCGCTGTTAATAAAAAGTTTAGGTAGGCGGGTGCAGCTGCATCCGTCAGCAGCTTTGCGTTCCATTCTGACCGCAATTTTCCATCGCCATTCATATCGTCTCCGGTCCAGATGTCGCGTCGATTTGAGGACAGTTCAAAATAGCCGTTTACATGGACTGGATAGCCATTACGAACGGGAAGAGGTAAGAAGCAAAAGGCTCGGCCTTCCAGTGGTACTCCGTCAATACGACCAGCTATGCCTACCCACGGAATAAGTTTCAAAGACTCGTTCTCCGCGGAACACGCCATTTCGCGGGCCTTTCCCCCACCAATTTGGTTGCATATCAAGTATTTTTCTATACTCTCCTCCATCTCCTCCATCTCATCTTTTATGCGCATCTGTACCGTGTCATCGTCTATTTTGAATTCTTTTTGATTTTTCATTTCTTCAAAACGAAGGATCATTTCTTGATGTTCACGACGTCGAATATTAAGCACTTGGGTCACGTAGGGCAAATCTTCGGTTGGAGTAGACCGCAAGCGTTTGTAAAGATTTCGTTTTGCGCTAAGTTCCGTCGTAACATCAGTTTCCGATAAATGATCGGTCCGCAAAAAATAATCAATTTTTCGCCATGATTCACGACGCTCCTCTGCTGGCACTTCTGCACCATACAGAAATACAGGTGGTTGATCAATTTTCGTCTGAAAATACACGTTGACATTGCGAACATTCCGAAGAAACAACATCGTGTCAATTATCGACCCCTGGAAGCTTTTGAATAAATCGACGATTTCGCAGTGTGAATAGCCCCGACGTTTGATCTGACTGATTTCTGCGAGAGTGCTATTTCGAAGTGGAAAACGAAACAGAGTGCCTTTGTAGTGGTGTTCCATGTCACATCCAAACACATTCTTAAATGGCGCAAATTGGTCGGGAAATTGCTTCACAATGTTTGCGTTTGCGAAGCGAATCTTCATTCCCGGATTCGCGGCCGATATGTGGGGCAAATGAGTTGCATGAGGATCGAATATCACTGCATTTATCATAGTCAAACATAAGAATATACAGATGCCTTAACACAGTAAAAGCACAACCAAAAGCGTACCAATTGACTTGGCTGAAACAATTGATGGTAAGTCTGTAAAGTGGTACACGGAATTGAAGCCAAGTCCAAATCGCCCCGTGGTCGTTGCACGTTGCAGTTTGCTTGCTTGACCTATGCTTGCAAGATTGATAAAATCTTTATCAGTAAACTCAGAGTCATTGTACTGCACTCACATAGATCATGGTAAGAAAATTAATCGATGGAACACATTCAACATACAAAAAACCTACGCAATAAAGAGCCGGCCCTTGCCATTTCGCCATTGAGGGGCTTAACAACGAAGAAGTTCCGTATGTGCAGTTGTTGTATAGAATGGAAACACACGTGGCACCCGCATCATCGGCATTCTGAATGAGTTCATTAATTATATTTGGCCCATCCGGATACTGTTCTAGAATGTGCGCGATTCGCTTTGTAAGTGCTTCAGTCTGCCCAAACGCCTCGACGCCACCAAAATTCAAATCTTCCCGGCCACTTTCACTGAGCAATTGGTTGCGCAACGGACGGGATCCAATTTTCGCCGCAACGTCGTTCGAGATTTTAGAGTGGATAAATCGAGTCTTTTCTAATGAGGTTTCGTTACTGAATTTGTCCAGCCAAGGAGCATCATCAAATGTCAAACTTGATGCTAAATGAAGCACTCCATTGCGATCGGGAGCAAACAATTCGTAATCGGAGTGATGTTGCAGCGTGTCACTAATCAGCTGAATTAGTCCAATCACTGTCGTCAGCCTATCGCTGGAGAGAGGAGCTGCGTCTGTGTGACCTTCATTTGAGGTCATCACATTTAGAGAATCCTTGTACATAGCTTCAAGAACATAGACATAGTCCGCCAACGCAAACCTTTCTCGAACTCCAACCGTCTTCAAGAAAGGTCGAAAATGAAGTAGCTCATTGGGAACCGAGTACAAATATGGCTCTGCATTTACAATCGTCACCGTAGCCACATGACTTGCCGACACAAAGCGGTCACCCACCCACACATACTTGCCGCTTCTCGATAAGATCGTTAGAACTTCTTCACGGCGAGTGGACTCCTGCTCGGTCTCAAAAAATACAGATAACATCTGATAAATATTGTACACCGCGGGCCAAATCACGTGAGTATCACTGGAATGTGGCCCACTACTATTGCGTTGCGTCCGACGGCTGTCAAATAGTTCTGATATCTTTTTAAGCTGAGTAGCAATCGTCTGAACTGGTAGGCGCTTTTCCCAGCCTAAAATTTCCCGCAAAACTTCTGAGTGCACCGAGGACTTAATAATGTGAAATTGAGAGGAGCATAGCCATAACTGCTTTATTGGACGGGACTGCTGCGAGGATGCAACGATGACTCTCTTTCCCTCTTGATACCATGGTGCGGCAGGGTGCGGATTAGTCTCGCACACTGGAATCCATTCAATGATTGTTAGCTTCGCTTTAAAATCTTCTATTTCTGCATTCTCCATAGCTTGATCACCCAGCTCTTCTGCGCTTGGCACGTTGTTATCCTGACTTGTATCAAGTTTGCGCGAGCGATCATCGCCTATAAGACTTCGCAGGAATTGAATTCTTTTGACTTTTTTGCGTGTCTTTACTTGAGTATACGCATGTCGGCGCAGTGTACGTGGCGCTACTAGCTGGTCTATATGTGAATCCACATACTGAAAAAATCGAACTGAGCGGGAGCGCAGCTTTGCACACAAATCATCTACATCAGCACCGTTTTGCCCAGCGCTACCCGACACGATTTTTTTCTGTGTATTTTCTAAGGACACCGCCAATGACAGAATGGACCGTCGAGACAATGTGCGCTGTAGTCCTATTGTTCTAAGTGCAGACAGTGGCTGGGGATCTTGTAGCTCTAGGGCTGGAAAAAAAGATTCGTCCATTATGTCCATGAAGTCGTCAATCTCTGGATCATACAAGTCTCCGATCGATTTCAAATCGCCTGCCATCGTGGGGTATATCACGGCAGTCTCTACTAATCGTGACAAAATGCCTTCATCATCCTGCGCCATCAAATGTGGTAATTCAAAAAGCATGTGATACACGAGATTTATGCGGGCAGTAAGGTCAATTCGAACGATGCGAGGAATAAGATGCTTCGCGTAAAACTCCACTTTAGAGATTTGCCGAGCACCCAAGTGCGACAAGAAGTTTGCTAGCGTTAAGTCGCCTTCTTCTACAAAAACAAAGTTTTCGTCAAGAAAAGTCTCAGCCACGCCAATGCATATCATAGGCTCCTGCTGCCGTTCTCTTATCTCGGCTAGTGACACAAACACATACGAAAAAGGTTCGCAAACTGAGTCACCATGATTACTGACCCACTGAGCGTCAAACACTTCCATTTGCGATATGCTTTTAAAACCCCGGAAAATAGGCAGCTTGCAGCAAACTTTCTGGTGGTCTGCTTTCATGTCACTGATATCCCCAGACATCAGAAATTTAAGCAGGTGATCCCGGTCACCCGCGTCGGTGGGCTCAAAAGATGTGATTACTTCATCCAGTTTTTTTTTGCCTAACGCAACATCAATGCAGGATAACACACCGACGGGGGTTGGTTGGTGTATATATTGCCACACTTTTGGGTTCGGCTGAAAAGATGCGAAGAGATTTGGAAGAAGCACAGGAATTTGTAGCTTTTGTAGACTACTGAGGCATCCATCAGGAATTAAATCGGCGCTCAAAACCCCACTTAGACTGCTCAGCTGCGCTACTTTGTGTGATGATGTTGGCACAATAGGCCATGTATCTTTGAGCAATGAAAGATGCCTGCTAGGGCCAATATATTTCCATAATTGTCGAAACCATTCCTCGTTTGGTTCATCTCCATCATCTGTTTCACTCCAGGTGGCTGTAACTTTTCCAAACCACGAAGCAGGCAAAACCACAGCCAGCATAGCTTCAAACTCTTGAAATGTTAGCGGCTGTAAATTCAGCTGCATTTGCACTTCATTTGACGATAAAAGCTCTAGTCCAGATACACTGATGGCTTCAATATCCACCAAATGGCAACGTGCTTTTTCCAGCAACTTCAGCTCATCATAATTTGGGATTGAATAAATTCTCTTAGCATTTTCTCGAAGTACGGCCGAAGAGATCGGATTTTGAAGTAACCAATCAAGTGCCGTGTCCACACCGGAATTTCCCGTAATTGCTAGCGCGTGAGCAGCGTGTTGACGCGCAAATCCCATCGAGCACAATTTATCAAGCTGATTAGAATCAAACGTGAGGTGATTTTCAAACATCTGAAGAGTTCCATCTGCCACTGGCAGAAATTTGACGCCGACAAGTACATTCAAGCGACATGGCTCCAGATCACTTAGCATGAAGTCTACTATGCACCTGACCGCGTATCGGTCACCGGCATGGCTAGAATGCTTGTTTTTGTATGCGTCTCGTAAGGTTTGTGGCACGACATAAGACGATATCGTTCCACTCTTAATTAATGAACGCTCTAGATTTTCGTTCAAGTTGCGGACGATAGGAAAACCATCTTGAATCAGCAATTGCTCTAGCTTCTTCGAGTCTAAGTGTGTGTGGGGAATCACCATACTATCCGCGGGAGCTACCCATCTCCCACCTCCGACTTCACTAAACAAGCACGGTACACAACGTATTAGCGAAAAGAAAGCGTGTGCTAAGGAGTCCCAGGGAGCAGGTGGAAATTCTTGCGGTAGTAACCGGACGTGTCGATCAGGAGTTAGAATTTGACTGTTTGCGAGATGTGAGACTGCTCTGGCGTAACATGGTGCAATCACATCGCGCAGTAAGGCAATATTCCACTGTGCTCGAAGCAGTCCATCCCCACTCAAACCTTCGCCAAACCAGATGTCCCGACGGTTTGATGAAAGTTCAAAATACCCGTTTACCTAAAGCACAAATATTTTTGAGTACTTGTGCTTTTCATTGGTATCTGGTGGATTTGTGAGATGTACTTACGTGCACAGGTAAATGTGTATGTGTGGGCAATGGCAAAAAACAGAACGCCAAGCCATTATTAGCAGAATTTGCAAAATCGCCGTTCATTAGAACAGCAACACCACCCCATGGAACAAGACGTTGGCTTGCGTTACTTGGCTTACAAGCAATTTCGGTGCAAGTACCACCGCCAAGCTGATTCATTATTAAGTATTCGTATGTTTTGGTCATCCTTTTGGTGCAATAGTGAGAGTTAATTGTCAGTGGATAGTCACAAACAACACCTATGAGTATCATACAAGGTTAGTACAAAGCCCTCACAGCTAAAAATGAGCCAGCAAAGCTGCAAACCATCGGTTGAAAAGTGCGAAGTGGGATGCTGATCTGTCGAGCAATACTGAAGTGAGCGTTTTGTTTTGATTTCCGGCGTCATATCATGAATCATAACTTCGTGCCGAGCGGTTGGGGCGTTCTCACCAACATTCCATTCCCATATCAATATTTTCGACACATTTCGCAAGAAAAGCAATACAGTTGGTAAAATGTCAGCAAATTCCTCAAGCATTTCGGCCATCATTGCAGGCGTTTGAGCACGATCCGATAAGTTACTCCGCAGTGCTTGTTCTTTGGTCCGGAGCGCGAGGCGAAAAATGGTTCCCTACCACAGCACAAATATCAGCCATAAATTTCAGCTTGTTTACATAAGACAATGGTCACGCATAACGCCCTAGCTCACAGCTTACCGGAAAGGGGTCCAAAAAATTGCACCCAAAGCATTGAAATGGAGACATTTGGTTTGGAAATTTATGCACAAATGTAGGATGTGCAATATAATCGATCATCTTTCCTGGATTACTAGGGTTGACATTTGGTAGGTGACATGCCTATGATGATTATAATGATGCCAAGTTGGTCAATTTGTATTGACTCATCGCACTTATTGACTATAAACACACCTGAGGATCAAAAAAGACGAGTTGTGAGCCGCTTACGAAGACAGGAAGATCAGTTACGTGATACACTGCGTATGTAAAGCAAAATTTGAATATTTAACATGCAAGTATCATTAATCATAGGCCAGCATTAAAATATTGCAATGACTTGCGTACCGGAATTAAATCCGACTCCAAAGCGTCCAGTCTTCCACCCCTTCGATTCCGTTTTTTTGAGCGAGTCCCCAATGCGCTGTAACATCACAAGCATTTAATTGCGTTGAGTATGAGTTGCCGTACAAAGCCCCTTAGTCCCAAACCTGAATCGACTGAAAGTCTGCCTCGCTGAACGTGGCGTTATTGTGCACAAGTAGCGATGGACCTAGAAAATTAACAAAAACAACCAAAGCAACAATGTAATACAGTCAATAGAAACGTGGTAACCCCTTTTCAATTCGACCAACCTTGAAACAGTGCAAGTTTTTCGTATGCAAGCCCCGTGACTGGATGATGACGGTAGTCCAGACAGAAATTAACCTCCGTGGCACCAGCATCATCCGCATTCTGCACCATCTCTTTCAAGACGGATGTGCCCTCTGCAAAAGCAAAAAAGTCAGAATCAAGCCTATTGTCCTTGTCTTACGACAGATTACCAGGGTAATTGCGTAAGATCTCACGGATGCGGACCGTGAGATCAATCTTCTGGCCGAAGTCATCACCGAAGTATGTCTCCCCATCCATCGTGATGTTAAAGAACTTATAAATTACTTTCACATAGATTTGAGAAATTGTAAATTTAGGCTTGCACAAGAAAAGCACCTAGATATCCTGTTTTTACGCAAGGTCACGCTGTGTCTGAGTAACGACCCTAAAATACATTACTTTCCTCAACTTTTCAAAGACCATTACGCAGGCGAGTCTTCTCAGACTAAGACTCGCTGGCAACTTACAACTCAAAAATGCATCAGTCAATTTTGTACGTCTTCGATTTCACAAGTAATTGTACACGACGAAATTCCCATACAGTCACGAGATCCTTCGAAAAAAAAGCACTGGGGTTATACGTTCAAGCTACACTGCACAAACTGGTTCTTGCACATTCTATTGCACCTTCAACCGCCTGAAGAATTTACGGGATTGCATATTCAAATTCGTTTTAATCAATTTTCTGTGAAAGCTTTTGCAAGATTTGACAATTTGTTAGCGATTAAAAGAGCTTATTTAATGTCAAGAATACATTTATAATATGTAGATAAACATAGAAGGCTCGCTGCAGAATGTTTTTTATGTCGTGATGTCGTGGGCAAAGGCTATTTCGAGGTTTCTTGATGTTGAACAGTGTAATTATTTGGTGATTCTACAATCGGAATTCCAGAAACATTTAGAAACAATTTGTGTCAATCTGATTCAGTTTCTATTGGTAATTTGGCACCACCGGCGACAAAGCTGACCATTTAAACCTCGTGAGCTCCAGCAGATGAGTTTCTTGAACAGCTGATGCATAATCAAATTTCTTCCTCATGATGCTTAGCCATTTCACGGCATTTAGATTTGGTGAAGTGTTTCGAAGCATTCATGGCACCAGGCCTCTCATCTTTGCAGCCGTATAAATTTCTGGCAACAGTTTTTGAGCTCGTGAGCTATTAGAGATTCGTGTAATTAGCAAGTCCAAAACACTAAGATGGCACTTGACCCGGCCGCACGGTGTCTCGCGGTTCAGAAGCTCTCAAGCTGTTGCTCTGACACCTTTCTAACAGCATAAGTATATTAAGAATCAATTTGTCTAATGGCAAAATTTTACTATGGCCTTCGAGAACAGAATCTCCATGCTTACTCATACCAAATTATGAATTCATGGTTAGGTGACAGCGAATATTTGTAAATACAAAGTACCTGCTTTGCTTTTAAAACCAATCCTAACGAAGCACACATGTAAAAAAAAATCCTCCTCTCTGACTTGCGTTCTGTATACCATCGAACAATCTGCACCATCCAATACAGCCTCATATTTGGATGCCACCCCCTCCCATCAAGTGGATAGCTAAATCTTTCTAATTTTATTAAATTTCTCCAACAAAACCAACATTCCGACATCTCGAGCCCACATGGGTTTTCACGATACACAAGGTTTGTCTTGTGAGCGCGGGAAAAGTTCTCCATTGTTGGACTCACAAACAACCTTACCGTGCTCTAAACAGCCTACGCTCATTTTGAACGTAAGCAATACAAGCGCTACTTGTGGTTCACCTGCAGCTACTACGGCGAAGCCGCACGGTCTAAAGCGCGCGCCAGGCGCTATACCCACTTGCGCGCCATGTAATAAGAATCGTAAATTTGAGATAGAGGAGAGCAGCTGCAAGGCACACACAGATGCTAAGAGCAAAAGGCGTCGCTTGAGCCTTGGAAGTAGCAATCGCAGTGCAGCACTATCGCGATTAAACACTGCATCTGCCGAACAAATTCGGCAACATTTGCATGACGTACGTCGCGAGCTCTTTTTGCGACCAATGCTCGCCATCGTGTCGAAGCTAATGTTTCACAAGATGAATCATGGGTTTTTTAATGAGCGGGTTGATCCAGTAGCGTGGAATATTCCACACTATTTCGAGGTGGTTAAGCACCCCATGGATCTTGCAATTGTAAAAACCAAATGCTTGAACCTTGAATTTGCCACGGCGGACGAATGCGCAGACAGCATTCGCCTTGTTTTTAATAATGCATGTTTGTTTAATCCACCTGGTCACATTGTTCATGAGTCAGCAGCCGCTTTGCTGAAGGATTTTGAAGCTGAATACGCCAAATACAAGGCCAAGACAGATGCGATGGCCAAACGCCGCAATGAACACTCGTGTCCTTATTGTCTCGATAACGTGTGTGGTATTTGCAACGAAAAATGCATTAATTTCGAACCGCCATTTGTCATGTGCTCGGGTGCATGCCGTCAGCGAATTAAGCGTCATGCTGTGTATTACAAGAGTCCTGATGGTCAGTACCATTGGTGCTCCAAGTGCTACACCTTTTTGCCGAAAGTACTCTGTCTGAAGTCCCGAGTTAGTTCTAGTAATGATCAGGAAGAAACAGCTATAGTGACGGAGTACACGGTGTCAAAGTACGCGCTGCTAAAGTCAAAGTTCACGGACGAGCTTACGGAGCCTTGGGTTCAGTGCGACTTTTGCAATGGCTGGGTACATCAGATCTGTGCATTGTTTAATGCTTGCGAGAACGCTGACGAAGACAATGAAGTGCTGTACATATGTCCGCTTTGTCGCCTTAAAGAACTCGATGCTAATAGAAAGAATGATGAACTGGGGATGTCTCCGATAGAAACATCCGTCGAGGATTTTCCCACTGAAGTATCGGAAGATTTACAAAGGTCTCCCAGATCGGTATTTAAACGTCGCTCGTATGTAAATGGACTCACGCGAGCGCTAGGTTTCGATAAGAAGGTTGGGGATCAGGTGCTTGATTTTATGACTCAAGGAGATATAAAAGCCGTAGATTATTGCAATGTGACAAGGTTTGTGAAAAGTGAAGACTTGCAATCTTGTGATTTGTCACGATTTATGCAGAGATGGGTGCAGCAACACTTGAAGAAAATTGGGGAACACGAAGCTGGACATACTATTGTTGTCAAAGTTGTGTCCTCTATCAAAAGTTCTTGCCATGTTAGTGCAGTCGTGCGCGATCACTTTCGGTCTGCATCTCAAGAGGTAAGCTTATCTTATGCCAACAGTTTATAAACTATCACTTATTCTCGTGTTTGATCTTTTTATCTAGTACCCACAATGCATCGACTATACGTCGAAGGTTATCTTTGTTTTCCAGATGATCAACGGTGTCGAAGTTTGCATCTTTTCGATGTGAGTTAATAAATTTCACGCGCACCTAATATAATCTCGTGATTTAACTCAACACGATACTGTTGCTGATATGTATACAGGTATGTCCAAGAGTACGATAAGCATTGTCTATTGCCCGCAAACCGCAACCGGACGTATATTGCGTATCTTGATAGTTTGGTGTACATGCGTCCACGACATATACGTACTAGCTTATATCATCAGATCCTCATCTCGTATCTAGCTGCTTGCAAAGCGAAGGGTTACGAGTATGCGCACATTTGGGCATGTCCCACAACGCGTGGAGGTGACTTTATCTACTGGTGCCATCCTTCTTTTCAAAAGAACCCTGGCAAAGAACGCCTTCTACAGTGGTATTTAACTATGGTAAGAAAAGCAAAAGAGCTGGGCATTGTGTTTGCATGCGACGACCTGTTTACTCGCGAGTTTAAGTCGCTGGAAAAAACTTTAGATCTGCAGCTTCCCCCGCTCTTTGACGGCGATTTTTGGCCGAGCGAAGCCGAGCGACTTGGCGAATCACCGTCCAAAAGAGGGAGGAAGGAATCAAATAGTGCAAGTGCGAGCAGTGCAGTATTTCGCAAGCGGGTTGGCGAGTCGGTGAAAGCAGCTTGTGATTCGCTGTTCGTCATAGCCTTGCAACCCACATGCGTCGCTTGTAAGCAGCTAATTATTAATGCTGCATATTGGCGCGTGAAAAATATAGAGGCTTTGGACATTTACTACTGTCACCAGTGCCTGGCGGAGGCAAAGATGTCCGGTATTGAACAGGAGTCAGTGATTACTGAAGTATCTCCACCCGACTTCTGTTTGAATAGCAAGATGGAGGAGGTGACCTTATCCTGCTCATTTCTCGACCACCGCTCCAGCATGCTTAAAAATTGCGAAGAATACCACTACCAATTTGACAGCTTTCGACGTGCAAAGTACTCTACGATGATGCTTGTCTATCAGATCTACTCATCGCAGCGCTCTGCTTTATGAGTGCGTGTCTGTAGTTTGTTTTCTTCGCTAGATTTGTAGTAGTACCAAAAACATAAAAAGTGATGTGAATGACAAGATTGAATTCTCTGAGCAGGCATGGAATTCACGCAACTATCAAACGAATGAAACTGGAAGTGGCACCGCGCTAGCTGATGCTTCCTGCTTGAGGTTCTCTGCATCTAGCCACTTTTCGTATTGCTTGCAAAAATTTACAGGATCAAGTTTAAGCGCGCTGTACATATTTGCCAAGCGTCCGCCGTCAGGAATAAACAAGTCCGAGCAAAGCTCTTTACGATCCTCACAAATCATCGACGCCCCGCCAGGCAAGGGTTTGCTGCCTCCAAATTGTGAATCGAAGTAATGCTTGTGGTGGTATGCTTGCATCTCTCCGAAAATTATCCTCTCTACAGAATCCTGAGACGCAGGCTTGTTCAAGTCTTCATCCTCATAGTGCAACCAGTCATCATCTAGCTCAGGTCGTACGTAGAGGTAGACCTCGGTGAGTAAACTAAAACAAGTGTATTTCTTGACCCACTATGCACAATTCATCCAAACATCAGGAATTAATGATGGCGGAGAAAAATTAAATGCAACGCTATTGCCACAGAACGAACCTGGTGACCTAAATATTTTGCTTGTGATTTCACCAATTTTAAAGCGTACAAGCGGGGTAATGGGATTTGCAAAGCTACCACACGCTAGTCACAATACATATCATCAGCAAAGTAAATTAAATGGTCAGTACAACGCGATTGCAATATCCGACGGACCTTAAGCCACACTATCGTTTGCCCGCGGCAGAGCGCATTCTTTATAATGTTTGGCTTTCGTTTTGTCAGCTTTTGCAATATCCTTAAAATACTCGTGATTGTCCTAGTTGATTGTATAGAAAACTCATTCAGGTCTTCCTCGAAGCGAATAGCATGCTTTTCTAATTCTTTTTCAAGCGCATAAAATCCAGTCTTCGATTCATCCGAGTCCTGACGCGATACTTGTAGGTAAGTATTGATGTCCTTATTCATGAACTTTGTCAATGTCGTCAGGACGTTGGCTTCCAGAAAAAATTGCATAAAGTATTCCGCTTTGCACGCATGACTTGCGCGGAAGTGCTTAAAAATAAGCAAGATAATTAAAATTGACACATCAAGAACAATTGCTTTCTCGCGGAGAATCCACTTCCAGAACTGATTGTCGCTGTTTTCGCTACCAGGAGCAGAAAAGTCCGTTATACCGTATTGATCTCCACTACCTGAAGGTCTTCGAGAGTAAAACGTCTTTTTGTCTCGAGCATTTAATGCGCTTCCACATGACAAGGTCACAAGGTTCCCTAGAAATGTAGTAAAATCTCGCATGCAGGGTAAAAACAATTGGTATAGCGTTTCTATACGCATCTCCCATTCATCATCAAGTGTGTTCAGCGGTCCCATTGCTAAGTCAGCATCACTAGACTGCTGACACTTAAGCTCGTAATTCGCTTTGTGCAAATACTTATTGTGAATAATTTCACGTTTCTTCGCAAACTTCTTCTTTTGTGGATAGTATGGATCTTGCGGATCCAGTTGAATCACATCGTGGTAAGGCTTAAAGGTCTTGCAATGCAACACACCTGCAGCATCATCATTTAAAATTGATAAATCAATGTCACTCCGCTCGCGTCGCAATCGCTTTAGTGCGTTTAACTCGTCAAAGTCACCCATGATAGCAGAGAACCATTCATAGAATAACAGCAGCAACCTTTTGATAGGAAAACCAGGCAGCACATTGAGCTGGCTGAGACAGTCTAAAATTGAAACCAATGCATAGGATGGTCCCATAATTCCGATTATCATCAGCTGGCGATCGAACACAGCATTCTTCTTGTGTGTGTTGAAGATGATAAGCAGATAGACGAGCACCATGTCTTGCTGCAGGTCACTTATGAGGGCGTCGACCTGGTCTAAGTCCAAATGCTGGAAGTTGAGACCCCGAAATGCGTGGATTGAGCGCTGTAGGTGATCTGTAAATACTGTAAGAGCGCCGCACTCTTGCAGCAATTCGTTGTTTGCTCTAGCTGCCTCTACTTGGGCCAAAACGCCCCCGCGGTTAACCGAAGATCCACCACCGCTAGAAACTGTGCGCAGCGACCCTTCTGAAAGAAGAAGTAGCTCACGCTTGGCTCGATAGCTCTTGTCGAGTGTTCGCACGTTGGCTGCCGATGTGTTCTCCATTTGATTTAGCAAAATACATACACGCTCGCGGGACTTGCGGCGTGAGGTCGCAATTTTTTCCCATAGTCGCACAGAATCTCGGTCTGAGTCCAGATCAACGGTCTCCTCGTGCACATATGTGCAAAAGAAGTAGGCGAGTTTCTCCTGAAGCGACAACCCCTTGAGCAGCGCGTCCTTAGTCATGGGTAAAGTCAAGTTTTCGGTCGAGGGACTATTTCAGACATAGCACACTGTACATGAGCTGAATATATTACAATGCTTTATTATTTTCCTCTAAATGATATATCCTTCACATTAAAGCTACAAGGTTTTGTTGATATCAAAGTAAAATCGATTGATTAATAATTTGAAATCCTAGTGATAGTTTTGAAAAATTACTATTTTCTTGTAATACTATTCAGAATTTATCTTTTAAGTGAACAAATCTTTCTCCCCCATATTGGTTATAAGATGTTCCGCAACCAGTATGACACGGACGTGACGGTGTGGAGTCCTCAAGGTCACCTGCACCAAATTGACTATGCAATGGAAGCTGTTAAGCAGGGCAGTGCATGTCTAGGGATCACGTCTAGCAAATTTGCAGTACTCTGTGGCATCAAGCGACAAAGTTTGGACCTGGCTGAGCACCAAAATAAAGTTTTTAAAATTGACGAGCATATGGGTATCGCTATCTCAGGGCTTACAGCTGATGCGCGTACACTTGCGAGATATATGCGCACAGAAAGTCTAAACCACAAATTTGTCTACGGCAGCGCAATCACTGTGGGGCGTTTGGTTTCGGACGTGGCTGACAAAAAACAAGAGTGCACACAGTCGTACATTCGCCGTCCTTACGGCGTAGGACTTCTAGTTGCCGGTGTTGATGTGCGTGTTGTTTCTCAATGCATTAAGTAAGAATCAACCAACTGACAAATCTTGTAATGGCTGCAGAAAAAAGGTGTACATTTGTACCAGACGTGTCCATCCGGTAATTACTACGAATATAGGGGCATTGCCATTGGTGCGCGTTCACAGTCAGCACGCACGTACTTTGAAAAGCACTTCGAGAGCTTCCCGGACTGTAAGTGAACTACGTTTAAATAGCAGAAAGCAAGCTTACAGTTACTCTATTTATGGCAGTGAGCAAGGACGAGCTTATTCACCATGCTTTGCAAGGAGCGCGCGGCTGCCTTCAGGGTGATCAGGAGTTAAGCATCAAAAATATATCGATCGCTGTGGTGGGTGTTGACCAACCTTTTACTATCATCGAGGGCACCGAACTGCAGCCTTACGTACGGATACATGCACCGTTTGATTTAATTACTTTTACAACGAGACTGACGATACATTTTGACTTCAGATTGATGCTGTTGAAGTGGCTGATGTGAAGGAGGACGAGGATGGCGACACAAAGATGGAAGAGTAGAAGGAAGTAAGGTGGCTATCGGGATGTTGTAGTGGCGACGCAATTCATAAATCGAATTGACTTCAATCAATCCTTGTTGGAAGGGAAGCTACAGTGATTGTAGCCCTTGTTCTATGCAAAATAAGTTTCTTTATAAAGTCAAACTATTTCGTGTTGGTGGCTCTATTTTTGGCCTAGCACCAATATTGATGTGACTAAATCAGGAAATTCCTCTTGTCTAATTGAAGTGCGCTTTTCGAGATGGAAGCAAAGCCGGGCATAGACGAACGTTTCTACACTCCTCGCAGTTCAGCTCGGCGAGGATATTCTAGCACCAATTTAGAAGACGAGCGCTTTGTGTCACCTCGAGGAAGCGCTCGATCTGTTTCGTCCGATGATAACGAATACTTAACGCCTCGAGAAACAGTGTCTATACCAGTCTACAAAACAGGGTCATCCTCTACCGTGTACAAAGATGCAGCTTTTCGAACCAGCAATAAGCGACTTCCAGTAACAGAGCCGGCGTACAACTTATACGATTCTAAGTCGCAAACTTCGTCGAAACCGCATCATGCCACACCACCTGCAGACGATTACGATCTATTCTCGGCTGCGCGTCATAATCGCTACGATTCGGTCGAATACATGTTGGACCATGGTACATCTGTAAATTCCAGAGACGCATTTGGCAACACTTTATTGTCCATCGCATGTCAAAATGGACTTAAGCGCATGGCCAAGCTCGCATTGCGGCGAGGAGCCAACATAAATAGTCAGAACGTACGCTTGTTTGTTTGTGTCTAATGCCACTTGAAATATCACTCACATCCTGGTGATGCTTCCGTAGATTCGAGGAAACACGGCATTGCACTTCTGTTTTGCTTACGGCTATGGCGACTCGCTTGGAGCTTACCTTATTTCCAAGGGCGCTGACACTACAATAGAAAACGAAGAAGACAGAGTTTGTTTCTATGGTATCTCTGCTCGGAAGTAAAAATAAAATAATCATATGTTAGCTACCGGTTATATTCTGTTTTACATTAGCGTTAGTTCCATAATTACACTGATAATTTTTAGTGCCTTGTTGACGTATTCTAGTCATGGTGTGTGAGCGGCCTTTTGCTCTTTTTGAGGAGCGTCAAGATGATCCGATGGATGGACAAGGCCGTGCAGCTAGTGATGACTCCGATCTTGAGGAAGGTTCGTGCTAAAATATGTCAAAAGCTCCAACAACTCGTTAGTAGCGGTGGAGTGGAGTGTTGACCACTATGATTTTGCATGTACTAGAAATGATGCGCGTCAACGTATTAGACATCGAGTGGAGGCGTCAAATTCACGTAGGTGACAATCTGGACGCCCAAAATGTGTTTGGCAATTGGTGTCCAGCCAGGGTCCTGCGGGTTGCAGATGGGGAATTGCTGTTGCAATTTCTCAACATGCACGAGTCATGGCACCAATGGCTGCCAGTAGACTCTGGTCGGCTAGCACAAATGGGTTCTAAGGTACACAATTGTTGTGGGCTGCTATTGATTTTCTATAAATTTAATGATATTCTCTAATCATTAATAGACTCGAAGTGACAGTGTCCCGATTCGGCAAGCGCAGCAGATTGAAGTGCGTCCAGGTGGTGGTAATAGCAGTTTGTGGAAGGAAGCGCTCGCGGTAAAAGCAGGTGGAGGATCCATTTTAGTGCGGTATGCTGGACGAGATAAAAATTTTGACGAGTGGATCCAGTTTACGCCAGAGAGAGTAGCACCAGCTGGAGAGCACCTGCGGCTTCGTGGTCGCGGTAGTTTGCTGGAGCAGCGGAAAATGGAGCTCAATGCATCAAATTCACCCCATCGTCGTGTGATTCAAGCGCAGAATCCGCGATTTACGCACTATCGGGACTCGTTGCACGCGGCGTTAGGGCTTAGAATTTTTGATATTGCAGGAGATGGCAATTGCTTGTTTCGATCTGTGAGTCACCAAGTGTATGGGAATGACAGTCATCATGCTCTCGTACGTGCCGCGTGTATGGATTACATGGAAAGTGAAAAGGAGTACTTTGAGCCTTACGTAGTGGGCGACATGGCAGCGTTCATGCGGTACTTGCGCTACAAAAGGCGAGACGGTGTTTGGGGGGATGATCCGGAGCTGCAGGCCTTATGTGAGCTATACGACCGTCCAGCTGAAGTGTTTGCCTATGATCCCCAGAACGGTTTTCGAAAGCTTCGGTGCTTTCACGAAAATAGCGGCCTCGCTCGTAGCAGACCCCCGATTCGGTACGTCCTAAGACGATTAGTTTTCCTTCAAGCATTTAATGAATCTTACAATTACTTTAAGGCTAAGCTATTATGGTGGAGGACACTACGACTCGCTTGTGGGTCCTGATCACCAAGTTAATTTGGTCAATGAGATACCTGGTCAATGGGAGCAGCGGCATATCGGATACTCTTATCGTATCAACTCTCGAGAAAATAGTAACGATACGCCGGGTGGTGAGGGACAAAAAGTGCAGATCCAGTCAGAACATGAACGCACAGAAGTGGAGCAGCTGGAGCAAGTCCTAGTGGTAAGATTTAGTTTTAGTTATTTGATCATCAATGGAAGGCGCTCGTGAGCTTACTCAGCTGTTGCGCTCACTTAATGTAGCAATCTCGCAACGAATTCGATGCTATGGATAAAAGCCTTGAAGAGACGCTTAATTTATCGCTTGCCGAGCACGAAGAAAAATCGAAAGCACAGGTTGAACGAGAACGCGAAGAGGTTGAAGAAGCTACTCGAGAAAGTGAAATAGCAGCCATACAAGCTGAACTTTTGGCTAAGGCAAAGGAGGAGTCAGAAGAAGAGCAGATGAATTCTGCTATCCAAGCTTCTTTGGATGGTCACATTGGGTTTGATGATGGTGATTTTGATGCTCAAGTGTCTGCAGCAATTCAAGCATCTTTGGGAGAAGCTGGAACAACTCTTGGAGATATGAGGAAAGACGATGGATACGATGAACAATTGCATCGTGCAATAGAGTTATCATCAAAGGAGTATGCACCATCACCGATCCCGTTCGGTCAATATGTTGATGATTCAATCACTACGGATGAAATGGACGAGCTTCAGCGTGCAATACAAGCTTCGCTCGAGCGATCTTAAATTAGCCAAGACATGCAGTTAATCGCTTTTATGCTGGACAACTACAAACACGAAGTACTTCAATTTTTACGAAATTGCTCAGGACGAGCGCGAATCCCCAGAATTTAGACCTTCTTTCGTCCGGTCTCGATTTCAATTTTTGCTTTCTATTCCCTTAACGTTACAGATTTGTTTCGACATACTCTGCGATACGCTGCTCCATGTAAATTCGGTCTTCTAGGTGGCGAGGCGAGTGACGTTCACAAGGAAAGAGCAGCAAGTCATAGTGCTTACGTTCATTAATGAGCGCCGTGATAAGGCGAGCGGTGTGGCGAAAGTGTACATTTTCGTCGATTAAACCATGAATTAGCATGAGTTTTTGCCTATTCTGCATGTTTCCAACCGCCTCCATGACACTGCCTTCCCTATAACCCGCAGGATTTAGCTGCGGTGTAGACATGTAGCGCTCTGTGTAGCACGTATCATAGCCGTCCCAACTTGTAACCGGAGCACCGGCTATTGCGAGCTTGAAAGTTTCTGGCGCCTTCATGAGACAAATTGCCGCCATGTAGCCACCATAGCTCCAGCCATAAATGCCCACGCGTCCTTGAATTGCGATTCCGTCTTCTACAAGTTTGCGAACGCCTTCCTGCTGGTCTGAAATTTCTATTGTGCCCATGCAGTGCTTAATAGCGCCCTCAAAAGCTGATCCACGTCGAAAGCTACCACGATTATCAACTTTAAGCACCACATATCCCATATCACGGAATCGCTGTGCTCGCATATCCACGGTCATCGCCCACATGCGCGAAACCCGTTGGACATGAGGGCCTCCATACACACTCACAATTGTTGGATACGGTCCGCTTCCATGGATCGTTGAATCGGGCAAGTAAATAGCTCCGTAAAGTGTTTCCTTGCCATCACGTGTCGGGAACGATATAATCTTGGGCTCACACAACTTAGACTGTGCCTGCAAATCTAACAGACGCTTGTCTTCTTCCTCTAATGTAAGCGGATAGGCTGACTCTTGAATCCATTGATGAATAGCGGCAAGTTCAGCAGATACAACTGCGAGCGAAGTAGAAGGTGAAGAAAAATTGGTTGCTGGAAAACTAGGCTTCACTGCCGCAAACTGAGCCATCGAGGGGACAGTGCACACTAGCGCTCGGGGGGGAGTCGTTGTATTGCTATACACATCAACAAACATGCGGCAACTACTATCCATGACAATCATGTGCATGCCTTCATCTCTAGTAAGTCGCACGAGAGGAGGGGGTGGGTCAACAGCTGGGAAAAGAGACGTGACGTACAAATGCCGCTCCAAAGGCGAATCCGCCGTGCCGCTAAAATATACGACTGCTTGAGCCAAGTCGACTCCTTCCACGGACTCCACACACCACTTACCGCTAGTCACAGCTCCAAGTAGACGCGC